GAAGGGGAAAATCCCACTATTAGAGTAATCACTTTCTCACAAGAACTCATAACTTCATGAAATGAGTCATCAAATTATATGATTTGAAAGAAAAATGAATTGATTTCTAATCTCTTATTGACTATGTCATAGAAAGCTGTGGGGTACAGGGCAGTGCCTTCTTAAGGCACAATGCAGTAGACTTGTTTAAATGTAGGTTCTTGGGCTCCACCTATTGACTATGAATCCCTGTAGGGTAAGTTATCCATGGGGGTATTATAGGACTCTTTATACACTACTAGGAAGCAGGATGAAGACTGCTTTTAGTCAGAAGGGCCTAAGCTTGAGTCTTGATGCACTAATCAATTCAACAGAAGTGCTAGGACAAACTGAAGATTTCAGAAAGGATTCTATGAGAAAGTGTATACTAGGCACTCGGCATACTACCTGGCCCCGAACAGGCCACCAAGTCAAAGAATGTGACCACCCCAACAGTAAAGTCCTATTGTACTAACATAGAAATAAAACAAACATGATAGTTAAGTCTATGCTATCGTCAACAATCTCATCAACAATCAACATAAATTAACTCCTTTGTGTAACTACTTACAGAACAAACTTTGAAGGTAAAGCAGGGTATTTATTTCACCACTAACACTACTGCTGTTGGCATATAACACTGCCTTCATAAACTCTTCATAACTACTTTTGGAAGAAGGAATTATAATGCATATATTAAGCACTATATTTTCTGTTTTTCCCAGAAATCAACAGTCATAATCAATACTTTTATGAAGTTCCAAGATTCACTTGTTATGTTAACATTTAAATTTTGTTACAATACATTAGGTTGGTTGCAACTTTTGCTACTATAAATGGGTTTCTTCATGAAGAAAACTTTTTCTGCATGAAAGGTTGTTTTTAAAGAGAGTTTCTCAGAAGTACATTATTGCATTAAGAATCTATATTACTATAACTCTAACCAGTCTATAACACCTTCACAGAACCTTAGTTAAATCTGAACTAGACAGCAATATTCAAGAGTGCCAGTACCACTCCACCAACATATGCCTTGACAAGTTTACATCTAGACAGTTAAAAAAAAAAAGAAAGAAAAGAAAATAGAATCAAGCTGCTGCCTGATTTTTGCTGGACTGCACTCAGCAAATGTCTTTATTCTTTTCTTGTCTAGCATCAGTGTGCCTGCTAACAACTACCTTGTGATGTCCATTTGACCTGTGGAGACAGTGTTTTTCTTACCCAATTTGTACTGATTCACTGTTAAAGACAGACAATATCCCTTAATAATAATATTTACTGAAATTTTTTTCTGAACTTAAAGTAATCCTTTTTCTTAGAGCATTTGGACATCAATGGTTTGGTTTCTTAAAGATCTCTTTGGCACATGGTAGATGAACTAAAATCATTTGTTCCTCAGTCTGCTTGTCATATTGGTAGTATCTATACAATTTTATTTTATTTCGCCACAGGTTAGAGTTCCTTTATCACAGTATTAATAAATCTTGGTAAATTCTTATTTAATCAACCAATTAGCTGTTTAATGTTATTGCTATGTATACTTTCTAGAAGTATCATAGTCTAATCTTAATAGTTCAAAATGTTACTGTTAATATTTTGACTTACTAAGTTCTCTCCTTACTCTTAATGATTTAATTTTGATGCTTAAGTAGAAACAAATAAGTTTACTGATTGAAAATATTGGCATGTTTCTCAAAGCAAACCCACTGTGCTAAAGGTTTGTAACAAGGCAGTGAAAATTTTAATGTTAAAGTTATCCCTTGTTTATTTTTAATATACACTGAATTTTAAATGCCTGTAATCTACCTTCTGATTAACTATATCCATTGACCTCCAATCCTATACCACTATTACTGACCATAGAGACTATTTCTAAGTGTAATACACATGACAGGGCAAAGGTCTTCAAATTCAGACAAGATTCCTACTGGTACCTAAAAGTTGACTCAGCAAACTCAGGAAAATCGATATAATAATAATTAGTAGTAGTATATTATATATATTTAAAATAGTATATTTAATATAAATATTATATATAATATATTACAAGTAGGTATATAGTATATATTATATAAATATATGTAATCACAGAATATATGAACATTCTATAACTGTTGTTATATTTAAATTTTTACTCTATATAATTAACCACATTTAAGCAAGATTTAGACACTCATATTTTTCTTAATAATTTTACCAATGTGAAAAAAATTTCTTTATTCTTTGAAGAAGCAAAAACAAGATGATCTATGGAGGTATGTTTTGGAACAACTCAGACTGTTTTTCATTTTTTATTTTTTTAGATTTACTTTATGTGTATGAATGTTTGCCTGCATTTTTGTATGTATACCACATGTGTCTGAGTCCTTTGGAAGAGTAACAAGTGTTCTAACCCACTGAGCCATCTCTCCATTCCTGAGATGGCTTTTCTTTTACAGAAAAGAAAAACTGCCTCATTTTAATTGTGTGATGTTAACATATGGATGACAATGTTGGGAACTAATGTATTATGTAATCAAGAGTTTAGAAATGTATCCTTTGTGTCCAGTGTGTAATTTGCATCATTTCTAATTAAGTAAACATTTTAAAGTATGAATAGCTTTGAGGTTACACACTGATAGTCACACTTATAACAATAAACCAGAAGCTGTTGATTCCAGCAATTTAACAGTTTATGGTACTAGTCTGTTATGAAATTCAAAAACATTAAGATTTAAAACAAGGTCATTCTGAAAACAAAACAAAACTCTTTGTACAAAGGAGAAAATATTCTTTAAATTGTGTTTGTCGCTGGTTGTAACTTACTTAAAATAAAAGAGCCAATCTTTACCCACTTGTGTTTAGCACTTAAAAAATGTAGGCCATGAAAGCATGCACTCATCTTCAACTTCTAGAAACATCTTTGTAGATAGAATAAATGATAAAGGTCTAATTGCTATGAGTATACCCCTTAAATGTATAGATCTTATAGGATCAACAGGCTCATTATATTATACAAGGAATCTTTATCTCTAATTCCTAATCTTCTAAAAATCAGGGTATATCTCTTACTTTTCCCTGAAAACTGTGAAAATGCTACTATTGTAAGGACTTATACGTGCTCTGAAATAAAGAACTTATCTTTATTTTAGTTAGAACTCTATGTATAAGTGGTTGTTCTATAGAGTACAGACAATCAGAAAACAAAGGCAAGTGCTAAACTTTCGAACAAGTCCCTTATCTAAGGAGTTGGTAAAGTAGTCTATGTTACCTGAACAGGTGCAATAACAGCACAGGGGCCACCTTCAAACTGCTCTAATGCAGATCCCTCTGCTTCACTAAACACAAACCCTAAAAACGAAAGCAAGCAGCAAGGATTAAAAAGAATTCCAGTAGCATCTATAAACGAATTGTTTGTGTACTTTGCTTTGAGATCATTGAGATCATGTTTCACAACAGCAAAATATCTACAGTTATTGGAGAGAATGTCTGGTCTTTCAAAAGACCAAGAGGACTCTGAAAAATGTTACACAACTACTTTCTCTTCTCCAAAATATTTATTCTCTCTCTCTCTCTCTCTCTCTCTCTCTCTCTCTCTCTCTCTCTCTCTCTCTCACACACACACACACACACACACACACACACACACACACAAACAATTTCACACCAAGCAAAGGTAAAGCAGACTTTAACAAAAGGACATTAAGTTTGACTTTTATTTTATTTCATTCTGATGAATGAGATTAGCTCACACTTGCCAAGTGCATACTCAGCGCTAAGCTACACCTCTAACCTCTTAAGTCTTACTTTTACATACTTTAATTTGCTTGAAGGAAGACTAGAAATCCAAACACCCTTTTCTAGACAGTGTTATTATTGATGTTGATTTCAACCCCTCCCCTCTTAAAGATAATTACTGAGATCACTCACTGTAAGGGAGCAGGGGGCTAGGCGGTAGCCAGATTTACCTACTTCATTTCAATGCTTGAGTCACATTCTGTAATTTAAGAACTAAATGGCATGATGGGTAGTAAATGTTCACAGGTTGGCTCTACCTCAGTTTAAATATTCCTAATCAGCATTAACTGATAGCAGCTAAAGGTATGCAGATGGCCTTGGGACAGAAGTCAGAAGAATCCACTAGAAACCCTGGAAAAGTATCTCCCTGAGCCTCAGTGGTCTTATTTTTAAAATGTTCACTTTCAATTCCAATATGCTAAGGATCTACTGAATTTCAATAATGGTTAAATTTAGTAACCCAGACAACATACTGGGTTTGTTTATATTTCATGAATACCAGATCTTATATGTGCAATTCAGAATATATTCAAGATTACTACAGTCTCTGGTCTACAGGAGCTGATGATCCAGTTGAAGAGACATGTAAGTAGGTAATACTAAAAGTATATGTTAATGTAACAGAAGAATGAAGGGTGTCCTGGATGCAGAAAGAAACAACTCACTCTGCCTGAGTCAAATATTAACAGATGAACTGGAGGCTGATTATGGCAGGGTATTTGGCTGGGAAACAAGGGTAGGCAAATAATATTCAAGCAAAGGAAGTATCAGTATTAAAGGGAAAAGAAGCAGGAAATGCTGATAGATTGAAGGGAAATTTAATGCAGTTGAAGGGCAGGTTAGAGGTAGAAAGAAGCTTGAATAGGCAAAAGGGAAAAGAAGGGGCACACACTACATAGACCTGGGTGAGCCTGAGGGAGCTCTGGTTCTTGCAGGACTATAAAGTTTGCTTCTTTTGTAAAGGATGGAAATAGGAAGGCTCTTTTAAAAGTGCAGTAGAGATATAACTGACCTAATAAAAGCTACTTTTCTAAGGAGAGGAAGCGCTATTTTCAAATGGTATTACTCCATGTAAATGGAACATGCTTGATATAGAAAAAATGAGAGTTGCCTCTGAAGTTTCTTCAGACCAAAAAAAAAAAAAAAGACAAAAAATAAACCCCCAAAAAACCCCACAAAAGCTGAAGCTCCAGAGCTTCTCCCCTTTAACCTCTCTTTCAGACATCATCTAAATGTTTCACATAGTTTTTAAAAAATCAGTGATTCCACCAAGAAATCCACCGCACACCCTCCCTCTTGGCTTCTCAGCCCTATCCCAGACATCTATATGCAACAGCCCACCTTTCTCAGTGCAGTCTCGGCAGATGTGTTCACTGTAAATCCCTGGCTGCACCAGCTCACTCTCCCGATGCCCACTGTTGATCCCTCTAGGACGCTCTTAAAGGCTCCTCTAATTTCCCAGAGCATCAACTAAAATCATGGCCTACACTGAAGAAGAAACCTGGCCTTGTGCATTCTGGTCCTTCTGTAGCCCATTAGCCGGTTTATTCCAGGTCTCACTGCAGCGTCTTGTAACACCGACGCTCCCCAGGCTCTGGCCTTGGGATTAGGATTTTTCCTTTCTGTATGTTCTCTCTGGTAACAGGCAGAGTTTTATCTACTCCTAATAACTTCGTCTACTCCCTCAACTTCCATTACTGACTGTAACCAAGAAATCCCCAAATACAGACCAGACACAGAATCTGAAGACCTTGTGTGGCCTTGCACAGAGACTTCAGTCCCCCTGCTGGGATTCTTTCAGACATTCCTGTCCCCACCTCTCAAGTGTTGGGATACAGGTATGTTCCACCACACCTTTGTACATAATGCTCCTTCTGCCTGGAACACATGCTTGCCCTTTCTGAAGAAACTCTGACTCATCTTTCAGGCTTCTTCCTTCCTTTTGGCTCAAGGCTCCAAAACACATCTTGAATGTGTGCTGTATCTCATCAACTTTTAGTTCAGACAACTTGCCCTCTCCCCTGGAGCACTGATAAAAGCTTCCAACCACTCCGCCCAGACCATCTCCTTAATCCTCCTAGTCATCTGGGCTGCCTGGAGAGCACTTCAGAAATGGAAAGCAGATTTGGTCACAATGTGCTCAAACTACTTCTATGACTCTTGGTGCAAGTAAAATAAAATCTTAACTCCCTTTTCTGGTCTACAGGCATGGTAAGATTGGCCAGTTCAATGGAACTTCCATTTTACTTTTTCTTCTCGGCTACGAAGCCCTTATTAATGCTGCTCTTCTCTCTCCATGAAATGCTTCCTTCTACTTTGGTCCTCAGTCTTCAGGATTCAATTTAGATGTGAACTCCTTAGAGAGACTTCCCGGCAAACCTAAGTATACTCCCATGCCTCACAGAGTCAGCGTTTACCGTAATCTATATTTATGTTAATTTATTATACAGGTATCCATGGCTGTTTTTACCATATGCTGTATACTCACTGCTTGTTAATGTAAAGGGAAGACAATCAGGGGTGTTTGCTTCTACAATGTAAAATAGTTCAGTTTCAAACATGCAAAGCAGCCATCACTACCATGTAGAAGCAGGGATGTTGGACCTCAGGGCAAGCTTTCAGACTATAGATAGCAACTACAATCATCTGGAACAGATCAGCACAGTGAATGCTAACATGCACTGCAAAGATGAGGAAGCTGAGGACATTAAAAAATGAGCAGAGGCCAGATCAGCAAGGCAGGATAACAGCTTAGAAAAACAGGCAAGACAGAAATAGCAGAGGTTCCAGAAAAGATCAGTTAGCTACAAGAGGAGTCAGCGGTGGCATGTGCTGAGACCTAAGTGCTGGATCAAGCTTGCCACTGGACATACTACAAAAGAAAACTCAGAGCTAGAGAACAGCCAGACTTTAAATGACAGGAGAAACAGCAGAAGCAAACTATTTGTTGTACAAGTTCCAGAGAAGGAAAGAGGGTGGCAGGATGAAAAATTATTTTGACACTTGATGACTAAGCTAAAAGAATGAAGGGTATGAGAGAGAGAGAGAAAAAAAGGCATCTGCTTTTAATCTCAGCACTGAGGAGGCAGAGCCTGGTGAAGTCTGAGTTTGAGCCCAACCTGGGTCTACTTAGTGAGTTCCAGGCAGCTAGGGCTACATAGTGAGACCCCTCCACCGCCCCCGCCCCTGCCCCCACCTCAAAAAAACAAAACAAAGTGAATGAATAGATGATAGATAGATAGATAGATAGATAGACAGACAGACAGACAGACAGAAAGAGATAAATGGGGGCCTATGCAGCGACTGATATGGGAAAAAGGAAATTGGAGACCCATCTTACAAGAGAGCCGAGGCAGTGAAGCACAGCAGCAGTGTCGACCAACCAGACAGAGGCTGTCAGCTGTGCCCTCCTAACCCCCACAGACTTATAGTGCTAGAGCCTGGTGCAAGGGACCCACCCAAAGTTAAAGTAGTTTTCACAACACTATCAAGACATTATCTGCCTTCATGTAAGTTCATTAATTTTTAAGGGTGTAATGGGATCCTGAGCTCAGAAAACATGAAAGCTGGTGACCTAACAGATATAAATCTTAGAAAATTTATAAAATGAAGAAAATCAAAGCCACTGGCTGGAATTGAGGGAATGAAGAGGTGAGAACTGAGGACTTGTCTGGATGCTGGTTCTGGGATATACAAGGACAGCTTGTTGGGGGTTGATCTGGAGCTGCTATGTATTCAAACGATAAATTCTCTACCCCAAGATCTGGTGCTCCAAGCTGAGCTAATTCCCATGTATAGCAAGCCTTTGTTATATGAACCTAGAGCTCCAATTTAAAAATAATTGGCTAAAAAGGCTAGAGCCTGTGATTTCGAGGTAGAAGAGAGGTGGGACTTGAGGATCAAGTGACAGGTCTCAGGGGAGACTGGGAAGGAAGGAGAAAGAAGTCAGAGAAGAGAGGCCACCAAGAGAGAGATGGACCATGAGCACAGGGATGAAGAATGAAGCAGGGAGACTCAGCTAAGGTGTAACCACTGTCTGCTGATGCCAAACAGGTTTACCCACAATACCCTGGAGCTCCTGATAACAGTAAGTGGGGAGCTGGACGTGGATAAGATGGCTGGGAAAACATGGAAAGTGTTGGCTATCTAACTAACTAAGTGCTGGTTATCACATTAACACAGCCAAATGTCAGTCCGACCTAGGACAGAAGCAAAGCCAAGAATCTGGGGCCATACCATCCAGATCCACCTGTCCCCACACCTTCTCTTCTGCTAAGCTGGGCTGGGCCTTGTTAGCACTTGGATAGGAGAGTTAAAGCCAAAAGACCTTCACTATTTGTCCAAGGAAGGAGTCCTGGTACTGTATACGACTGGGAAGGAGTGAGGCTCTAGAGACTTTCAGTTCCTGTAATAAACATCAAATTAGGAGTGAATCCTAGCCTTCCTTAAAGAGTCCACCAATATTCAAAGAAGTAAAAACATTACTAAAAATCCTATCACTATAATGCATCTATCAAGAGCCATGGAAAGTGCTTACAGCTACAGTGAGTTGTTTTATTTGAACATGAGTTTGTTAATATATGGCTACTTTTCTTGTCAAAGGTTTTTTTCATTCAAATTACTTCCTAGATTTAAAAGAAATTTGCTTACTACAAAAAGAACAATTTCTGATTAAATCTAAAATCACTCATCTAATAACTGATTTGACATAGAGTTTTGTAACATTTGTAACATATTGTGTGACACAGTGAAGACAGTGATGCTGTCCTCAGTTTCATATTTATAGCACCTAATTTAAATGTGGGCCAGGAACCTTTTTGCAAATTTTCAGTCTTTATTCTCGTCTCAACTGTACATATACACATTCCTCCAACCAACTGGACAACTAAGGGTTCTAAAGTCTTAGTAACCAGTGTAAAACCAACGGCACAGACTTGGTTAGATTACTATAAGCCAGATGGTCTGGGCTAAGTCAAATATCTAAATGGGGTCCCATTTTCCTTAGCTAATAGTGTTAGAATAGACACATTTACCCTCTGTTATCTTTCAAGGTTATAAACCCTGTATAGCATAACATCATATTACAGATATTTAAAATCTTTGAATTAAAGAAACTATATTATATATTTAAAGTACCAAGTAATTAACCCTCTCCTGTGCTTGCACATTGTGGCTTTTAAAAAATTGCTTGTCAGGTGAATTAGAATTTAGTTATGGTAAATGAAAAAAAAAAACCCTAAATTCAAACTTGACCTAAAGGATCTAGTAATGAATTGTGTGCGTGCGTGTGTGTGTGTGTGTGTGTGCACGCTGCTGTGAGAGGACATCTTGCAGAAGTTATTTTTCTCCTTCAAGCCTGTAAGTTCTGAGGGTTAAACTCAGGTGGTCAGACTTGTTGACAAGTACCTTTCCTTACTGAGCTATCTTGCTGGCCATTTTATATTTAAATGATTTCTCACCTTTCATTAAGATAAAAATATTGTTTTTCATATTATATAATAAAGACTGTCTCTTATTCTTGAAAACTTCCAAATCTAATTTTAATCAAATACGGCCCTGCCCCATCACAAAAAATGATATCCCCATGTTAAGGTGCTATAGATAGTACCTCTGTTTCCACCACAGCTTCAGGTGAAATAATAAAACAGGAAGTTTGGAGGAAGGGACAGTGTGCTTCCTGAGCTCCTGAGGAGAGCTACACGCTAAGGCCAGGAAAGCACTGTCCGCAAATGCTTCTTAAAAGATGTTTTGGGAAAGCTGTGCCTATACTACCCATGACAGCTTTTGTGCAGCAGCAGAGGAACACACAGAAAGAGAAAAGTCCTTAGCCCTTTGCAGGGAGTCTACCAAACACCAAGTTACACAATCAGCAATGAAAATTGAACTCTTAGTACATCAAATGTCCCCACTGGTATGATCAATACTACTTCTGTCAGACAGAAGACACCAATTTGGGTTCTGCTGGGATATGGTCATCATGACTACTTCCTACTGTCTCCAATGCTAATAATCCTGCTCTGCTCCACCTTTCCCTCTGGGCTATAACAGGGACCATCTGACACTGTCTACACTCTCAACCACAGCAACCAAATCAACCTAAATACAGAAGCTCTGTCTCCTTTGCTCCAAACATTCCAGTGACTCATTCATTCAGAATGTGGGCCAATGTCCTTTTAATGGCTTATATGACCATATTACTTTTAGAATGTTTATTACTCTCCCCTTCCCACTGCCCCCTCCAGCCATACTGACCTCTTTCCTGGTCCCCAACCAACAGTCCAGTTAACATAGGCACCAAGACTTTTATAGGGGAGAGAGCCTGTGTCTGGAACACTTTCTTCAGATGCCTGCATGGCTGGCTTCAGGGACTCAAGTGTTTTCAGGACTCTCTGTCCCCTCACCTAATAACCACTGCAGGTGCTTAACGTTTGCTCTGCCATCCCAGGGCTCTGGACACCAGTGTGTGGTTTACAGGAAGAGAAAAGAGCAAGTGCTGCCAATGAACTAAAAAAGTGATAACTCGTTTTCACAAGGTAGGCAAACAACCAAGAGAAAACGGAAACAAAAAACAAATTGTCAAACTAGGAAAAAAAAAAGCCAGTTTGTAGCGGCAAGACATCCGAGCACCCAGGAGGTCAAGACAGGTGTATCTCTGTGAGTTCAAGGCCAGACAAAGCTACATGGTAAGACCCTGTTTCAAAAACAAAAGTAAGCTCAATTCAAGCCTTTTATTAAAAGGCTTATTGACTTTAAACAAAATTGGAGATCTGGAGAGATGGCTAAAAGCACTGGCTGCTTGTGAAGTGGACCCTGGTTCTATTCCCAACATCCATATATACAGGTTCACAACCATATATAACTTCAGTTCCAGGGACTACAAAACCCTCTTCTGGCCTCTGTATGCATGTGGTGTACATGCATACAAAGAAGCAAAACACTTACATACATATATTTTTAAGTAAAAAAATAAAAGCAAATAAATCTTTAAAGGATTGCTCAGAAATAACCCAAAAAAACGCATACTTCTTTAGCTGAAATGGATTTCCAAAACTAACTAGTTTTAGCTGAAACTGTGGCATCAATGAAAAACTAGCAACTATGTGCTACCCTGTTGGTTTATTTTAACAAGCAAAGCAAAGCAACATAGTAGCTTTACGAATGTAACTTCACAAATGTAATCTCTCTGTGTGTAACTTTGCTCTACGCTAAGCATTTTATACCTACATCTTATTTTCCAAAGACTGAGGTTACAGCTGTCAATTCAATGCAGTTATCGACCACAAAGTCAAGCCACTTTACTAATGCAGGAAGTCAGTGCCCTATGACTACTCCCATAATCCCAAATGACTACCACAGCAACATTTATTATTGCCCTCTGAGAGTAACTCTAAACATCATTAGACTAGCAGAGGAAGTGCTTCGATCCATATTCCTTTAAAGAATGTAACGAACAATATCAGACACTGTCTCAAAATTCCGGATGCTTGAGGTCAAGTGAACAATCTTGCAGCGAGCAATACTGTGTTTCCATTCAGAGCACCACACCTAACTACATTAATTACAACATGAAACTGGTTTCCGGTATTAGTCACCTGGATGTCCACCCTCCCAGCCCCCCTCCAAAAACATTCCAAACACTGGTAGCTTAAAGCTCACTTGGAGGCTGGAGGTGTAACGATCCTGACAGTGGTACCCACTTTGGTGTCATACACTGCAGTCCCAGGGCCCCTCCCCCCTTCACTCCTGCACCAGGCCAGTCTAGACTGGCAGAGGCACGGATTCTTTTGGCTTCTCCCCATCAAAACCCACATAGAGCAGTGCTTCTCAACCTGTGGGTCGCGACCCTTCGGGGGGTCGCATAACAGTAGCCAAAGTACAGTTATGAAGTAGTAGCAAAATAATTTTATAATTAGGGGTTACCATAGCATGAGGAGCTGTATGAAAGGGTCGCAACATTAAGAAGATTGAGAACCACTGGAACAGGGGTACTAGCTCAGGATATCTGACTGGCTAGAGCGATGGCAATAGAGGCTAACGCAGAGGACCCGAGGTGCCCGAGCCGGGTTTGTCGGAACTAAGTCCTGGATCTAGAACTGAGCGCAGAGTCCCGAGGGTGGTCAGACAGAGCAGGGTTACTGGGATCAAGCTCTGTAGTAAAGAGTGCGAGTACCCGAAGACTAGAGTTGTACTAGGACCAAGAGCCGGTACTCGCAAAGAATGCGAGTGCGGGAAGCCGAGGAGCCGGATCTGGGCACTGGGACCAAGGTCTGGTACAGGGAAGGAGTGCGGATACTAGAGGGACTGAAGCCGGGATATTAAGCGCGAGCACCGGGAAAGAGTGAGGGTACCAGAGGGGCTGGAGCTGAGATGCCAAAACCAAACGGGGCTACTGGGACAGAACTCGGGTGAACGCGGGTGGCCCGAGTGCCTAAAGCGTGGTTACTGGGACCAAGCACGGGTACTGGTGAAGAATTAGGGCATTGGGGCCAAGCGCCAGGTACCGGAGGTGATGGGGCCAAGGCGAGGTGGTGGAGCGAGGGTACTGGGACCGAGAGAGACGTCCGGCCCCGACTCCCAGAGCCCTAGGTGAGCGGCTGGAGTTGGTACCCTGCCCTGCCCTGGTACCTTGCGTCCAGCGGCAGAAGATGGTGTCCGACAGTCCCGGACTGCTCTTGGTGCCCCACACCAGCTCCAGCAGCTCTTTGGTCACTTCGGACATGATGGGGACTGGGCAAGAAGAGGGTCTTTGCTTCTCGGACTCCGGTCCCGGAACATAAGGAAGGGGAGGCTCGAGAAAAGGGCAGCGGGACGGCGGCGGCCGGACGCGAACGGGAGGCCGAGAGAAGTGAGGGCAACGCACTGCCGGCAGAGACCGCGCCTGTCAAGCCCGGCGAAGCCGCAGCTAGGAGTTTCCCTGCCGGAAGCCGCTTGACTTCCGGCTTCCTTTAGCCCCGCCCCCGCAGAGGGCTGGGGAAAATCTCGTCCCCGGAAGCGGAAGTGGGGAGAGCTTCTCAAGCACTGGGGTACTCTGATTTCTTTTGGGAGCTGTCCAGTTTGGGGATAGTTGGACTATTGACTTTTGCACTGCCCTACCAGGGGCTGAGAGATCCCCTTCTCTCCTGGACGCTGTTCTGCCTCTTTTCTTTCCTTTTTAACAATTTTATTTCTGTTCTACTTTTGTAGCAGGCTTTGAGTCTCTCGCTCTATTACCTGGTCCTTAAAATCTAGAATAATACACAAGCTAGAATTATAAGAGGATGGGCTATGCCCTTGAGTTGGAAGTTGTCTTCCACAGTCCCTTGATAAGCCTTGAAAAAATCCAACCAAGTCATTACCTAGTTACACCTGTAAATACATTTGTGTATTTAAAATACCTGCGCAGGTATAATTACACGTTATGCAGCTAGCTGGGGCTAAGCTGACCTAAACCAACCAGTTGATAGCAGAGATTTCATCTCATAAAATGTAAGACGCCTATGTTGGCAGTACTTGGGATTAAAGACCCAGGTTTTATTCAAGGATTAGCATTCCATTATCTTCAGTATGAAAACAATTAGTGACATTTAAAAAATAATTTTCATTGGTTGGCTTTGACAATTGGGAATGGAATAGGCAAATGTGCATTTTAAAATGTGGGCAGGTGTTTGTTTGCTTGTTTGTTTCTGGAATGCAGTGTTTGGAATAGTTATTTGGAAGTCAGGTTCTGAGTCATGAAAACCCCAGACTCTTCCATGCTAATTATCAAGTTAGCTTCACCCCACCTTTGCTTATTGTTCCCTACACTAGGAATTGACGTACGCTTCACATATCATAAAGTATAAAAGAAAAAAATGTGTGTAAAGGATTCAGGTTCTTTTTGGCATATGGAATGTATTCACAAAACAAGGGATATTTTATTACTTAAGATATTTTGTGGTAATTTGATGCAACACCTATGTTTTTGTATTTCTTGATGCACATTTTAGGCATTTTGCTGTTTAATATGGTGATTTCTTAGGACATAGTTTGCCGATTTCAAAATACAGATATCTTATAAAACATTGCTCCTGTGTTAGTTAAGATAAATAAATTATTATTTTAAATCACCCAGCTTGAAAACAAGGGTTTCCTAATTTATACATTTTTCCTTACTTAAGCATTCTTAACTGTAGTACCAGGGGATGGCCAAAAATACCTGACATGACCTTGGCCTTCCTCATGAGTTTTCAAAAATTGTCTTTTGTATTCCCTTTATTGTGCACATACAGGTTTATGCATAGCGTGACACACATGTAAAGTAAGAGGAAAACTTGTGGTAATGGGTGCTTTCATTCAGCCATGTGTCTCAGAACAGAAAACATGTTTCAGCCTTGGCAGCAAACTCATTAATCCGTTTTATGTGCTATTCAACTAATGTGCTATTTTGTTGATCCTAGACTTTTCTTTAACCTAATTTTATACATTGAATCTTAGCTATTTTATAAGATAGAAAATGCATGTTATTTTACATAAAGCTTTTTTCAGTCATTACAGTCTAAAATAAAAATAACTTGTGAAATTTTATAGTACTTCATCTGTAACTCTCTCTGACCATGGTGGTTATCCTTACAATTGCAGGGTTACTTACTTTCTTCTTATGCAGATGCATAAAGTATTATAATAAGTATTAATCAAAGGAATAAACTTATTTATACTGAAAGTTAGGACTCAAATTTACTTCCTGTGACAAACCAACATTCCAGCTTTGCCAACTCTTAAGACATACATATCTCAAAGGGAATGTGTAATTTAAGTCCAAATTTCTCTTAAAACTATAATATATATACATATATATTATACAAAATCATATTTGTTTTTTCCCAATAGTATAACAATAGTTATTATAGACTTGGTCAGATATCTACCAACACAGAGAGAAAAGGCTATATTTTAAAAGCATGCCTTTGTTTAACTTAAATATATATATATAATCTCATACATGAAAACTGTCTTAGTTGCCTTTCTATTGCTGTGATAAAGCACCATGATTAAGGCAACTTATACAAGAATGTGTTTAATTGGGCTGACAGTTCCAGAGGTCAGAGTCGCTGATGGTGGAGTAAAGTAATGGCAGCAGGAACACCTGAGAGGTCACATCTTATAGTGTAGGCAGGAATCAGAGAGAACACCGAAAATGGCATGTATCTTCTAAACTTTCAGAAGCTTCCTTTTCTAACACACTTCTTCCAACAAAGCCATGCCTTCTAAGTCTTTTAAATATTTTCATCATTTGAGTATAAGTATTCAAATACAGGACCCTATGCCAACCATTTAAATCTTTTCTTTTTTTCTTTTTTTGCCATTCCCTCTCTCAAGCTCCCCCCATGGTCTCTTGACTTCCTCCCGATTTCCTGACTTCCTTTTTATTCTTGTTATACACAACCCCTACGAGTCTATTTAATGTTGTGCTTATACACATGTGTTTAGAGCTGACTACTTGGGATTGTAGAACTCATCCCTGGAGAAAGCTGATTCTCCCTCTCTCAGTAGACATTGATTTTTCTATAGGTATCCATATAAGGAATGGACCTTGTGAAACTGCTAGAGTCCCCAGTGTTGTCACTATACAGATTTTTTTTTGTAGGCAGCCATACTGTTGTGATTTAGTGGGTACAGCTCCCTGCTGTGTCACTATAACACCATTTAGCATCAGGTAGCTTGATCTTCTGGCTCTTACTGTCCTTCTGCCCCTTCTGTGATTTTCCATGAGCCTAAAGAATATAGGGACTGATTGCATATGTATCTATTGTAGCTGGGCACTCTATGGTCACTTAGTCTCTGTATTTTGATCAGCTGTGGGTCTGAGTAATAATTTTCATATGTCTCAAACAGAAGCTTTGTTGATGAGCAGTAAGAGCTACACTTATTTTTGGGTAAAAGAATAAATATTTAAAAATTAAAAGTAGTGGTTAAAGGTTCTCTTCTAAAGTCTATGATCTCTCCAATCATGGATGGTTGGTTGTGTTTACATTATGAGGCATAAATTCCCTCCTACTGAGGGGACCTTATATCTAATATTTCTGCTGTTGTTTATCCTCAAGATAAAAGTGCCACTAATTGGGGTATCCTGTCAGGCCAGTCGGTGTTAGAATTTGTAGGTTTTGCAGGACTACTTAGAGGACTATTGGTTGCTTTTCTTCCGTTCCATAGCACTGTCTAATACCATGAGAGCTTGTCCTCAGGGAGGAGGTTTTCAGCTCAGCTCAGCTCAGCTCAATTCTTCTCAGTCCAGCATCTGAGATGTGTGGTGTTTTCATCAGCATGGTCTTACTTCCAGGAGGCAAAGCCAGAGCAAAGACAATGGTTGGTATGGTTTGGGGCTTCTCTTGGACTCCAGTGACCAACAAAAGAAGGTTTCCCATGCTTGGCATTGGGGTTTTTGTTAGGTGGTCTATGGTTCTGAGGATAGCATTATCACCCTGTGTGGTATAGCTCTTTTTAACACACACACACACACACACACACACACACACACACACACCTTGTAAAGTACTGCCTATTTTTTTCCTCTAGCAGTTTTAATGTAAAAAGTGTGTTTTGAGAAAAGGAAAATATATCTTGGTCTGTGATTTTTTTCTGAATTTTAATCTATACTTAAGGAGGTAGACCTCAAGCAGACACTGATTAATGTCCTTGTCACTTCTTCTATAGTACGTTTATTAATTTCTATGTTTTACACTTTTAGTTAGCAGCACATATTTTATCAAGTAATATTTAATTAATGATAAATTATTTATTGGCTTGCTTATTCTTTAATTGTAACATCTAAATTGTGAGCTTCTTTTACAATGGAATTACAAATTATTATTATTTATTCAAAAAATTTTATTCAATACTTTTATAACAATATGTACTATCTCTTGGCAAGGGAATTATTCATTATAATCCCCTAACCCTGTTAAATTGCTTTTCTTGTCTTTTTCCCAAGTTTCCTTTTGAATCAAAGAAGTACATTTTCACTTTCTATTTGTTCACAAATGACCATGAGAAGAAAAAATCTCCAACGGGAGTCCTTATGTCTAAGCTAGTGTAGTTTCATTACACTAAAACAAATAATAAAAATAAAAAACTTCAAAAACCTACAATGCAATAAGATTAATAAATCTTATACAGGTCTCATCCTCCATTCATTGATAAAGCTTACTCATGTACTCTCTCCTTTTTAAAAAATGTTTCTTGGTTCTTAATATAAACTTTATTTTAAAAATAACAGGAGCCTGAGAAAAGTTGGGTGCAACTGTGGAGAAGATCATATTTTTATTCTATAATGCTTGCCGACAGGAAGGAGCACAGACACTGAATGAAGAGTCCGGAAGTGGCTAAACTGGTTAGGAAGTGGCTGCAGTGGTCCAGCAGAAAAGCTTAGAGTTTAAATTCGACCCATATCAGTGCAGAGTTCCGGTAGCTTCCGCAGGCATTTTGGAAGCAGAATGAATGAACTTGGTAGACTAATTAACAAGTTAAGACACAGCTCTTCTTTAAATGTATGATCAGCATCTCTGTGGACAGGAGCAGAGCTGAAACATAAATGTGGATGAAAGTGGCAGGCATGCCTAGCTCATTGTGTGGAAGCAGAGCTGACAGACTAGGTCATTGACTTCTAAAATCCAGGAGTTACTGAAGCCACAGGGTAAAAGCTGGGCTTTACTAGGGGTCTCTCTGCCCTGAAAGCCAGCCAGGAAAGCCATGAGCACTGCTCGAAACTATGACCCTTGTACTGCAGAAAGTGAAGAGAAATACAGGGCTGACTAAGTCCGTGTAGGGATACCAAGTCAGTGCAGCAGCAGTGGCATGCTACTCTCTGCAGGCTTTAAGGCAAACTGAGTAGAAAGGCTTATACCTGATGGTGGAGGCTTCATTTATTAGTCTGCAGCTCTCCGGAGAAAGCATT